AAATACGGAGTTATATCTAGAGCTCCACAGCGCTGAAGGAAACGGCTCTCTGGGGCTCTGCCTTGCATCCTTGTTGTCCCCAGGTAAGGAGTCACACTGCCGGCACGATGGAGGGAAAAAGGACATGGACCTGCAGCCCCACGCCAAAAAAATTAAATGAAATAAAATTCAAGAGGAAAACAGCATGAGAGCAAGAAGCAGACGGGTGCAGGGAGGGGAAGAAGCCAGCAGCAGTTCAGGGCTAAAACCATCCCACCTCGGGGAAACTGCCTGCTGCAGAACCCAATCCCCGGCTCAAGCAAAAGTTACCAACCCAAACGCAGCCAGGAAATAACTGGGATAAATGGTGCCACCACCAGAGCCTAAGAAATATTATTTGTGGCATTATTATTTTTTTTTTCCACAATCATCCTTATATATCCCAACAGTGAGATGGGCACAGCAAGAAGCCAACCGCGGCACCGATTTCTTTCACGGCCAAGAGACATAGTAGGAGGGTTTCAGGTTGGAGCCGGCTTCCAGCACTCAGAAGCCGCAGCGGAACACACAGAGAGTAAAACCCACGCGTGCTGCAAGCTGGAAAGGCATTTCTGCGGTAATAATCACCCCAATTTCCCCTTAATGCTCCAAACAAAGGCACTGATAAAGTAGAAAATTCGAATTAAATTGTGTTGGAAACATATGGGAATCAGTAGCCAAATTTCAACAGACAAACAGGCAGCACACCCTATCTCCACAAATTTTTGTCTAAAAAAAAAAAATAAAAATAAAAATTCTCATAACGCAGCTCTCTCCTTTCCACTCTCGCAGCAGCTAATTCTTCCGCTCTTTCGTAAACATTTGAAAACAAGGTCACGCGCACAAATTCTGCTTTCAATTTGTCTTGTATCCATAGTGATTAAACTCAGACCCACAATACGGGACTTAAAGGAAAAAACTTTAAAAAGGCCTGGAGCAGGGCTAGCCCCTGGCACGCTCGCCGACCCGCCAAAGGCCAGGGACGAGAGCATCGCCGACGACAGTTTTCTCATAAAACAGCGACCTGGGAATTAAATTGAAGGTCTCCAGCATCCATGCTATCGCCATAGTGAAAGATCCAGCCCCTCATCTATAGCCTCCGCAAGAAACAACCAGCCCGGAGGCAACACAAATTTAACAGCTCTGAAACCCAGCTATGGAGTGGGGTCCGGCAGGGACGGCAAGAGCGGGATGAGCAGGAAAAAACGAAAGCAGTGGCAGGAGATGAAAGAATCGACAGCCTTTTCCCCATTCCCAATGAAAAGGTTTTTCTCTAAAAAAAAGAAAAATAATTTTCTCATCATCCTTACCCCCCTAAGCCCTACACTTGCCAAAGGGGAAGTGTCAGGGCTGGAAGCTTTAACCACCTACATCCAATTTCCTGCTCTATCACAGCCCCAGACGCGGGAAAAGCCTCCAGTGTGTGACAGCAAACACTCCAAATTCAGCAGGGCCTTCCCTGGTCCCTGCTGAGTGCCACAGTTTCCCCACCTGACCGGGGGGGAGCAATAGCATTGCCCTGCCTGTGGAATATTAGGAAAATACACCTTCCCTGATCCGGTCCTGGATGGGGCTAATGTTCCTCCTGCAGACGCTCAGTAGGAAAATAAAGCCAGAGGAGGCGAGAAAACGATTTGCCCCGTCCCTCTGCAGCCCCAGGGTGTCACAGGCTCCTGACAAAAGGCTCCAAAAATTCCCGAGGCACAAAGCGAGCGCAAGGAAACACCTCTAAAAAGGAGAGAACCAGGGGTGCGAGGAGGCTGCGGGGGAGAAGCCCAACTGGCCACGCAGCACCGTAAGGCTGACGCCTCTTGGGACACACAGGGCAGGGAAAGCGGGGAGCTGCGGGGGGGCACCGAGCCCCTGGCCCCCCACGCTTTCGGTAGGACGCTGGGGCTTTGCGGGCGGTGGGAGCAGAGCGGGGCGAGGGGAGCTCACCGTGGGGGGCACTTACTTCTCATAGTCCAGCTTGCAGTAGAGCTTCTTGTCGCGGTAGAAGCAGGTGGTCTGCAGGGGCTCCTTGCAGGACGCGCACTGGACGCACTGCTCATGCCACAGGCTGTCGTTCAGGCGCAGCAGGAACCGGTCCGAAATGACTCGCTGGCACCCTTCGCACACCGACTTGGGGGTCCCGGCTCTGCCTGCGGGGAAGGAGCCGGGGGGTC